ACCGTGTTAGCCAGTGTGTCGACTAGTGCTTCGGTCTCGACATCTCCCAGTGTGTCGCCAGGTGTCTCAACCTCCACCTCTGCCAGCCTGTCAGCCAGCGTGGTCTCCAGCGATTCAACCTCCACATCGCCTAGTGTTTCGCCAAGTTTCTCGTCCTCCACCTCTGCTACCGTGTCAGCCAGTCTGTCGACCAGTGCTTCGGTCTCCACATCGCCCAGTGTGTCGCTAAGTTTCTCGGTCTCCACCTCTGCTACCGTGTCAGCCAGTGTGTCCACCAGTGCTTCGGTCTCGACATCGCCCAGTATTTCGCCAAGTTACTCGGCTTCCACTTCAGCTAGTGTGTCAGCCAGTGTGTCGACAAGTGCTTCGGTCTCGACATCGCCGAGTTTGTCGCCAAGTGTCTCACCCTCAACCTCTGGAAGCGTGTCACCTACTTTGTCGACCAGTGCTTCGGTCTCGACATCTCCTAGTGTGTCGCCAAGTGTCTCGGCCTCCACCTTTGCTAGTGTGTCAGCCAGTGTGTCCACCAGCGTCTCAGACTCCACATTGCCCAGTGTTTCGCCAAGTTTCTCGGCCTCCACCTCTACCAGCGTGTCAGCCAGTGTGTCCAAGAGCGTTTCAGCGTCAACATCGCCAAGTGTGTCGCCACGTTTCTCGCCCTCCACCTCTGCTAGCGTGTCAGCCACTGTGTCGACCAGTGCTTCAGTCTCAACATCGCCTAGTGTGTCGCCAAGTGTCTCGGCCTCCACCTCTACTAGCGTGTCAGACAGTGTGTCCACTAGTGCTTCGGTCTCGACATCGCCGAGTTTGTCGCCAAGTGTCTCAGCCTCCACCTTTGCTAGCGTGTCACCCAGTGTGTCAACCAGTGCTTCGGTCTCGACATCTCCTAGTGTGTCGCAAAGCGTCTCGGTCTCCACCTCTGCCAGCGTGTCAGCCAGTGTGTCCACCAGCGTTTCAGCCTCCACATCGTCCAGTGTTTCTCCAAGTTTCTCGGCCTCCACCTCTGCTACCGTGTCAGCTGGTGTGTCGACCAGTGTTTCGGTCTCGACATCGCTCAATGTGTGGCCAAGTGTCTCGGCCTCCACCTCTGCTAGCCTGTCAGCCAGTGTGTCCACCAGCGTTTCAGCCTCCACATCGCCAAGTGTTTCGCCCAGTTTCTCGGCCTCCACCTCTGCTAGCCTGTCAGCAAGTGTGTCGACCAGTCCTTCGGTCTCCACATCGCCCAGTGTATCGCCACGTGTCTCGGCCTCGACGTCTGCCAGCGTGTCAGCCAGTGTGTCCACCACCGTTTCAGCATCTACATCGCCCAGTGTTTCGCCAAGTTTGTCGGCCTCCACCTCTGCTACCATGTCTGCCAGTGTGTCGACCAGTACTTCGGTCTCCACATCGCCCAGTGTGTCGCAAAGTATTTCCGCCTCTACCTCTGCTAGCGTGTCAGCCAGTGTTTCGACCAGTGTTTCGGTCTCGACATTGCCGAGTTTGTCGGCAAGTGTCTCAGCCTCCACCTTTGCTAGCGTATCACCCAGTGTGTCAACCAGTGCTTCGGTCTTGACATCTCCTAGTGTCTCGCGAAGCGTCTCGGCCTCCACCTCTGCCAGCGTGTCAGCCAGTGTGTCCAACAGCGTTTCAACCTCCACATCCCCCAGCGTTTCATCAAGTTTCTCAGCCTCCACCTCTGCTAACGTGTCAGCCACTGTGTCGACAAGTGCTTCGGTCTCGACATCGCTCACTATGTCGCCAAGCGTCGCGGCCTCCACCTCTGCTAGCGTGTCAGCCAGTCTGTCCACCAGCGTTTCAGCATCTTCATCGCCCAGTGTTTCGCCAAGTTTGTCGGCCTCCACCTCTGCTAACGTGTCAGCGAGTGTGTCGACTAGTGCTTTGGTCTCGACATCTCCCAGTGTGTCGCCAGGTGTCTCAACCTCCACCTCTGCCAGCCTGTCAGCCAGCGTTTCCTCCAGCATTTCAACCTCCACATCGCCTAGTGTTTCGCCAAGTTTCTCGGCCTCGACCTTTGCTACCGTGTCAGCCAGTGTGTCCACCAGTCCTTCGGTCTCGACATCGCCCAGTATTTCACCAAGTTACTCGGCTTCCACTTCAGCTAGTGTGTCAGCCAGTGTGTCGACAAGTGCTTCGGTCTCGACATCGCCGAGTTTGTCGCCAAGTGTCTCACCCTCAACCTCTGGAAGCGTGTCACCTACTTTGTCGACCAGTGCTTCGGTCTCGACATCTCCTAGTGTGTCGCCAAGTGTCTCAGCCTCCACCTCTGCTAGCCTTTCAGCAAGTGTGTCGACCAGTGCTTCGGTCTCGACATCGCCCAGTGTATCGCCAAGTGTTTCGGCCTCCACGTCTGCCAGCGTGTCAGCCAGTGTGTCCACCACCGTTTCAGCATCTACATCGCCCAGTGTTTCGCCAAGTTTGTCGGTCTCCACCTCTGCTACCATCTCAGCCAGTTTGTCGACCAGTACTTCGGTCTCGACATCGCCCAGTGTGTCGCAAAGTTTTTCCGTCTCTACCTCTGCTAGCGTGTCAGCCAGTGTGTCGACCAGTGTTTCGGTCTCCACATCGCCGAGTTTGTCGCCAAGTGTCTCAGCCTCCACGTTTGCTAGCGTGTCACCCAGTGTGTCAACCAGTGCTTCGGTCTTGACATCTCCTAGTGTGTCGCAAAGCGTCTCGGCCTCCACCTCTGCCAGCGTGTCAACCAGTGTGTCCACCAGCGTTTCAACCTCCACATCGCCCAGCGTTTCATCAAGTTTCTCCGCCTCCACATCTGCTAGCGTGTCAGCCAGTGTGTCGACCAGTGCTTCAGTCACGACATCGCCCAGTGTGTCGCCAAGTGTCTCGGCCTCCACGTCTGCCAGCCTGTCAGCCAGTCTGTCCACCAGTGCTTCGGTCACGACATCGCCCAGTGTGTCGCCAAGTGCGTCGGCCTCCACGTCTGCTAGCGTGTCAGCCAGTCTGTCCACCAGCGTTTCAGCATCTTCATCGCCCAGTGTTTCGCCAAGTTTGTCGGCCTCCACCTCTGCTACCGTGTCAGCCAGTGTGTCGACTAGTGCTTCGGTCTCGACATCTCCCAGTGTGTCGCCAGGTGTCTCGACCTCCACCTCTGCTAGCCTGTCAGCCAGTGTGTCGACCAGTGCTTCGGTCTCGACATCGCCCAGTGTGTCGCTAAGTTTCTCGGCCTCTACCTCTGCTACCGTGTCAGCCAGTGTGTCCACCAGTGCTTCGGTGTCGACATCGCCCAGTATTTCGCCAAGTTACTCGGCTTCCACTTCAGGTAGTGTGTCAGCCAGTGTGTCGACAAGTGCTTCGGTCTCGATATCGCCGAGTTTGTCGCCAAGTGTCTCACCCTCAACCTCTGGAAGCGTGTCACCTACTTTGTCGACCAGTGCTTCGGTCTCGACATCTCCTAGTGTGTCGCCAAGTGTCTCGGCCTCCACCTCTGCTAGTGTGTCAGCCAGTGTGTCCACCAGCGTCTCAGACTCCACATTGCCCACTGTTTCGCCAAGTTTCTCGGCCTCCACCTCTGCCAGCGTGTCAGCCAGTGTGTCCAAGAGCGTTTCAGCGTTAACATCGCCCAGTGTGTCGCCAAGTTTCTCGCCCTCAGCCTCTGGTAGCGTGTCAGCCAGTGTGTCGACCAGTGCTTCGGTCTCGACTTCGCCTAGTGTGTCGCCAAGTGTCTCGGCCTCCACCTCTACTAGCGTGTCAGACAGTGTGTTTACTAGTGCTTCGGTCTCGACATCGCCGAGTTTGTCGCCAAGTGTCTCAGCCTCCACCTTTGCTAGCGTGTCACCCAGTGTGTCAACCAGTGCTTCGGTCTCGACATCTTCTAGTGTGTCGCAAAGCGTCTCGGTCTCCACCTCCGCCAGCGTGTCAGCCAGTGTGTCCACCAGCGTTTCAGCTTCCACATCGTCCAGTGTTTCGCCAAGTTTCTCGGCCTCCACCTCTGCTACCGGGTCAGCTGGTGTGTCGACCAGTGTTTCGGTCTCGACATCGCCCACTGTGTCGCCAAGTGTCTCGCCCTCCACCTCTGCTAGCCTGTCAGCCAGTGTGTCGACCAGTGCTTCGGTATCGACATCGCGCAGTGTTTCGCCAAGTTACTCGGCCTCCACCTCAGCTAGCGTGTCAGGCAGTGTGTCGACAAGTGCTTCGGTCTCGGCATCGCCGAGTTTGTCGCCAAGTGTCTCAGCCTCCACCTCTGCAAGCGTGTCACCCACTTTGTCGACCAGTGCTTCAGTCTCGACATCTCCTAGTGTGTCGCCAAGTGTCTCGGCCTCCACCGCTGCTAGCGTGTCAGCCAGTGTGTCCAGCAGCGTTTCAGCCCCCACATCGCCAAGTGTTTCGCCAAGTTTCTCGGCCTCCACCTCTGCTAGCCTCTCAGAAAGTGTGTCGACCAGTGCTTCGGTCTTGACATCGCCCAGTGTATCGCCAAGTGTCTCGGCCTCCACGTCTGCCAGCGTGTCAGCCAGTGTGTCCACCACCGTTTCAGCATCTACATCGCCCAGTGTTTCGCCAAGTTTGTCGGCCTCCACCTCTGCTACCATGTCTGCCAGTGTGTCGACCAGTACTTCGGTCTCGACATCGCCCAGTGTGTCGCAAAGTTTTTCCGCCTCTACCTCTGCTAGCGTGTCAGCCAGTGTTTCAACCAGTGTTTCGGTCTCGACATCGCCGATTTTGTCGCCAAGTGTCTCAGCCTCCACCTTTGCTAGCGTGTCACCCAGTGTGTTTACCAGTGCTTCGGTCTTGACATCTCCTAGTGTCTCGCAAAGCGTCTCGGCCCCCACCTCTGCCAGCGTGTCAGCCAGTGTGTCCAACAGCGTTTCAACCTCCACATCGCCCAGCGTTTCATCAAGTTTCTCCGCCTCCACCTCTGCTAGCGTGTCAGCCAGTGTGTCGACAAGTGCTTCGGTCTCGGCATCGCTCAGTATGTCGCCAAGTCTCGCGGCCTCCACCTCTGCTAGCGTGTCAGCTAGTCTGTCCACCAGCGTTTCAGCATCTTCATCGCCCAGTGTTTCGCCAAGTTTGTCGGCCTCCACCTCTGCTACCGTGTCAGCGAGTGTGTCGACTGGTGCTTTGGTCTCGACATCTCCCAGTGTGTCGGCAGGTGTCTCAACCTCCACCTCTGCCAGCCTGTCAGCCAGCGTTTCCTCCAGCATTTCAACCTCCACATCGCCTAGTGTTTCGCCAAGTTTCTCCGCCTCCACCTCTGCTACCGTGTCAGCCAGTGTGTCCACCAGTGCCTCGGTCTCGACATCGCCCAGTATTTCGCCAAGTTACTCGGCTTCCACTTCAGCTAGTTTGTCAGCCACTGTGTCGACAAGTGCTTCGGTCTCGACATCGCCGAGTTTGTCGCCAAGTGTCTCACCCTCAACCTCTGGAAGCGTGTCACCTACTTTGTCGACTAGTGCTTCGGTCTCGACATCTCCTAGTGTGTCGCCAAGTGTGTCGGCCTCCACTTCTGCTAGTGTGTCAGCCAGTGTGTCCACCAGGCTCTCAGACTCCACATTGCCAAGTGTTTCGCCAAATTTCTCGGCCTCCACCTATGCCAGCGTGTCAGCCAGTGTGTCCAAGAGCGTTTCAGCGTCAACATCGCCAAGTGTGTCGCCAAGTTTCTCGCCCTCCACCTCTGGTAGCGTGTCAGCCAGTGTGTCGACCAGTGCTTCGGTCTCGACTTCGCCTAGTGTGTCGCCAAGTGTCTCGGCCTCCACCTCTACTAGCGTGTCAGACAGTGTGTTTACTAGTGCTTCGGTCTCGACATCGCCGAGTTTGTCGCCAAGTGTCTCAGCCTCCACCTTTGCTAGCGTGTCACCCAGTGTGTCAACAAGTGCTTCGGTCTCGACATCTTCTAGTTTGTCGCAAAGCGTCTCGGTCTCCACCTCTGCCAGCGTGTCAGCCAGTGTGTTTACCAGCGTTTCAGCTTCCACATCGTCCAGTGTTTCGCCAAGTTTCTCGGCCTCCACCTCTGCTACCGTGTCAGCTGGTGTGTCGACCAGTGTTTCGGGCTCGACATCGCCCACTGTGTCGCCAAGTGTCTCGGCCTCCACCTCTGCTAGCCTGTCAGCCAGTGTGTCGACCAGTGCTTCGGTATCGACATCGCGCAATGTTTTGCCAAGTTACTCGGCCTCCACCTCAGCTAGCGTGTCAGCCAGTGTGTCGACAAGTGCTTCGGTCTCGGCATCGCCGAGTTTGTCGCCAAGTGTCTCAGCCTCCACCTCTCCAAGCGTGTCACCGACTTTGTCGACCAGTGCTTCAGTCTCGACATCTCCTAGTGTGTCGCCAAGTGTCTCGGCCTCCACCGCTGCTAGCGTGTCAGCCAGTGTGTCCACCAGCGTTTCAGCCTCCACATCGCCAAGTGTTTCGCCAAGTTTCTCGGCCTCCACCTCTGCTAGCCTGTCAGAAAGTGTGTCGACCAGTGCTTCGGTCTTGACATCGCCCAGTGTATCGCCAAGTGTCTCGGCCTCCACGTCTGCCAGCGTGTCAGCCAGTGTGTCCACCACCGTTTCAGCATCTACATCGCCCAGTGTTTCGCCAAGTTTGTCGGCCTCCACCTCTGCTACCATGTCTGCCAGTGTGTCGACCAGTACTTCGGTCTCGACATCGCCCAGTGTGTCGCAAAGTTTTTCCGCCTCTACCTCTGCTAGCGTGTCAGCCAGTGTTTCGACCAGTGTTTCGGTCTCGACATCGCCGAGTTTGTCGGCAAGTGTCTCAGCCTCCACCTTTGCTAGCGTGTCACCCATTGTGTCAACCAGTGCTTCGGTCTTGACATCTCCTAGTGTCTCGCGAAGCGTCTCGGCCTCCACCTCTGCTAGCGTGTCAGCCAGTGTGTCCAACAGCGTTTCAACCTCCACATCGCCCAGCGTTTCATCAAGTTTCTCCGCCTCCACCTCTGCTAACGTGTCAGCCAGTGTGTCGACAAGTGCTTCGGTCTCGACATCGCTCACTATGTCGCCAAGTGTCGCGGCCTCCACCTCTGCTAGCGTGTCAGCCAGTCTGTCCACCAGCGTTTCAGCATCTTCATCGCCCAGTGTTTTGCCAAGTTTGTCGGCCTCCACCTCTGCTACCGTATCAGCGAGTGTGTCGACTAGTGCTTTGGTCTCAACATCTCCCAGTGTGTCGCCAGGTGTCTCAACCTCCACCTCTGCCAGCCTCTCAGCCAGCGTTTCCTCCAGCATTTCAACCTCCACATCGCCTAGTGTTTCGCCAAGTTTCTCGGCTTCGACCTCTGCTACCGTGTCAGCCAGTGTGTCCACCAGTTCTTCGGTCTCGACATCGCCCAGTATTTCGCCAAGTTACTCGGCTTCCACTTCAGCTAGTGTGTCAGCCAGTGTGTCGACAAGTCCTTCGGTCTCAACATCGCCGAGTTTGTCGCCAAGTGTCTCACCCTCAACCTCTGGAAGCGTGTCACCTACTTTGTCGACCAGTGCTTCGGTCTCGACATCTCCTAGGGTTTCGCCAAGTGTCTCAGCCTCCACCTTTGCTAGCCTTTCAGCAAGTGTGTCGACCAGTGCTTCGGTCTCGACATCGCCCAGCGTATCGCCAAGTGTCTCGGCCTCCACTTCTGCCAGCGTGTCAGCCAGTGTGTCCACCACCGTTTCAGCATCTACATCGCCCAGTGTTTCGCCAAGTTTGTCGGCCTCCACCTCTGCTACCATGTCTGCCAGTGTGTCGACCAGTACTTCGGTCTCGACATCGCCCAGTGTGTCGCAAAGTTTTTCCGCCTCTACCTCTGCTAGCGTGTCAGCCAGTGTGTCGACCAGTACTTCGGTCTCGACATCGCCGAGTTTGTCGCCAAGTGTCTCAGCCTCCACCTTTGCTAGCGTGTCACCCAGTGTGTCAACCAGTGCTTCGGTCTTGACATCTCCTAGTGTCTCGCAAAGCGTCTCGGCCTCCACCTCTGCCAGAGTGTCAGCCAGTGTGTCCAACAGCGTTTCAACCTCCACATCGCCCAGCGTTTCGTCAAGTTTCTCCGCCTCCACCTCTGCTAGCGTGTCAGCCAGTGTGTCGACAAGTGCTTCGGTCTCGACATCGCTCAGTATGTCGCCAAGTGTCTCGGCCTCCACCTCTGCTAGCGTGTCAGCCAGTGTGTCGACCAGTGCTTCGGTCACGACATCGCCCAGTGTGTCGCCAAGTGTCTCGGCCTCCACGTCTGCTAGCGTGTCAGCCAGTCTGTCTACCAGCGTTTCAGCATCTTCATCGCCCAGTGTTTCGCCAAGTTTGTCGGCCTCCACCTCTGCTACCGTGTCAGCCAGTGTTTCGACTAGTGCTTCGGTCTCGACATCTCCCAGTGTGTCGCCAGGTGTCTCGACCTCCACCTCTGCTAGCCTCTCAGCCAGTGTGTCGACCAGTGCTTCGGTCTCGACATCGCCCAGTGTGTCGCTAAGTTTTTCGGCCTCCACCTCTGCTACCGTGTCAGCCAGTGTGTCCACCAGTGCTTCGGTCTCGACATCGCCCAGTATTTCGCCAAGTTACTCGGCTTCCACTTCAGCTAGTGTGTCAGCCAGTGTGTCGACAAGTGCTTCGGTCTCGACATCGCCGAGTTTGTCGCCAAGTGTCTCACCCTCAACCTCTGGAAGCGTGTCACCTACTTTGTCGACCAGTGCTTCGGTCTCGACATCTCCTAGTGTTTCGCCCAGTGTCTCGGCCTCCACCTTTGCTAGTGTGTCAGCCAGTGTGTCCACCAGCGTCTCAGACTCCACATTGCCCAGTGTTTTGCCAAGTTTCTCGGCCTCCACCTCTTCCAGCGTGTCAGCCAGTGCGTCCAAGAGCGTTTCAGCGTTAACATCGCCAATTGTGTCGCCAAGTTTCTCGCCCTCCACCTCTGGTAGCGTGTCAGCCAGTGTGTCGACCAGTGCTTCGGTCTCGACTTCGCCTAGTGTGTCGCCAAGTGTCTCGGCCTCCACCTCTACTAGCGTGTCAGACAGTGTGTTTACTAGTGCTTCGGTCTCGACATCGCCGAGTTTGTCGCCAAGTGTCTCAGCCTCCACCTTTGCTAGCGTGTCACCCAGTGTGTCAACAAGTGCTTCGGTCTCGACATCTTCTAGTTTGTCGCAAAGCGTCTCGGTCTCCACCTCTGCCAGCGTGTCAGCCAGTGTGTCCACCAGCGTTTCAGCTTCCACATCGTCCAGTGTTTCGCCAAGTTTCTCGGCCTCCACCTCTGCTACCGTGTCAGCTGGTGTGTCGACCAGTGTTTCGGGCTCGACATCGCCCACTGTGTCGCCAAGTGTCTCGGCCTCCACCTCTGCTACCGTGTCAGCTGGTGTGTCGACCAGTGTTTCGGGCTCGACATCGCCCACTGTGTCGCCAAGTGTCTCGGTCTCCACCTCTGCTAGCCTGTCAGCCAGTGTGTCGACCAGTGCTTCGGTATCGACATCGCGCAGTGTTTCGCCAAGTTACTCGGCCTCCACCTCAGCTAGCGTGTCAGCCAGTGTGTCGACAAGTGCTTCGGTCTCGGCATCGCCGAGTTTGTCGCCAAGTGTCTCAGCCTCCACCTCTGCAAGCGTGTCACCCACTTTGTCGACCAGTGCTTCAGTCTCGACATCTCCTAGTGTGTCGTCAAGTGTCTCGGCCTCCACCGCTGCTAGCGTGTCAGCCAGTGTGTCCACCAGCGTTTCAGCCTCCACATCGCCAAGTGTTTCGCCAAGTTTCTCGGCCTCCACCTCTAATAGCCTGTCAGAAAGTGTGTCGACCAGTGCTTCGGTCTTGACATCGCCCAGTGTATCGCCAAGTGTCTCGGCCTCCACCTCTGCCAGCGTGTCAGCCAGAGTGTCCAAGAGCGTTTCAGCGTCAACATGGCCAATTGTGTCGACAAGTTTCTCCCCCTCCACCTCTGCTAGCGTGTCAGCCAGTGTGTCGACCAGTGCTTTGGTCTCGACATCGCCCAGTGTGTCGCCAAGTGTCTCGGCCTCAACCTCTACTAGCGTGTCAGAAAGTGTGTCCACTAGTGCTTCGGTCTCGACATCGCCGAGTTTGTCGCCAAGTGTCTCAGCCTCCACCTTTGCTAGCGTGTCTCCCAGTGTGTCAACCAGTGCTTCGGTCTTGACATCTCCTAGTGTCTCGCAAAGCGTCTCGGCCTCCACCTATGCCAGCCTGTCAGCCAGTGTGTCCAACAGCGTTTCAACCTCCACATCGCCCAGCGTTTCATCAACTTTCTCCGCCTCCACCTCTGCTAGCGTGTCAGCCAGTGTGTCGACAAGTGCTTCGGTCTCGACATCGCTCAGTATGTCGCCAAGTGTCGCGGCCTCCACCTCTGCTAGCGTGTCAGCCAGTGTGTCCACCAGCGTTTCAGCATCTTCATCGCCCAGTGTTTCGCCAAGTTTGTCGGCCTCCACCTCTGCTACCGTGTCAGCGAGTGTGTCGACTAGTGCTTCGGTCTCGACATCTGCCAGTGTGTCGCCAGGTGTCTCAACCTCCACCTCTGCCAGCCTGTCAGCCAGCGTTTCCTCCAGCATTTCAACCTCCACATCGCCTAGTGTTTCGCCAAGTTTCTCCGCCTCCACCTCTGCTACCGTGTCAACCAGTGTGTCCACCAGTGCTTCGGTCTCGACATCGCCCAGTATTTCGCCAAGTTACTCGGCTTTAACTTCAGCTAGTTTGTCAGCCAGTGTGTCGACAAGTGCTTCGGTCTCGACATCGCCGAGTTTGTCGCCAAGTGTCTCACCCTCAACCTCTGGAAGCGTGTCACCTACTTTGTCGACCAGTGCTTCGGTCTCGACATCTCCTAATGTGTCGCCAAGTGTCTCGGCCTCCACCTCTGCTAGTGTGTCAGCCAGTGTGTCCACCAGGGTCTCAGACTCCACATTGCCCAGTGTTTCGCCAAATTTCTCGGCCTCCACCTCTGCCAGCGTGTCAGCCAGAGTGTCCAAGAGCGTTTCAGCGTCAACATGGCCAATTGTGTCGACAAGTTTCTCCCCCTCCACCTCTGCTAGCGTGTCAGCCAGTGTGTCGACCAGTGCTTTGGTCTCGACATCGCCCAGTGTGTCGCCAAGTGTCTCGGCCTCAACCTCTACTAGCGTGTCAGAAAGTGTGTCCACTAGTGCTTCGGTCTCGACATCGCCGAGTTTGTCGCCAAGTGTCTCAGCCTCCACCTTTGCTAGCGTGTCACCCAGTGTGTCAACCAGTGCTTCGGTCTCGACATCTCCTAGTGTGTCGCAAAGCGTCTCGGTCTCCACCTCTGCCAGCGTGTCAGCCAGTGTGTCCACCAGCGTTTCAGCCTCCACATCGTCCAGTGTTTTGGCAAGTTTCTCCGCCTCCACCTCTGCTAGCGTGTCAGCCAGTGAGGCGACCAGTGCTTTGGTCACGACATCACTCAGTGTGTCGCCAAGTGTCTCGGCCTCCACGTCTGTCAGCGTTTCAGCCAGTCTGTCCACCAGCGTTTCAGCATCTTTATCGCCCAATGTTTTCCCAAGTTTGTCGGCCTCCACCTCGGCTCGCGTGTCAGCCAGTGTGTCGACCAGTGCTTCGGTCTCGACATCTCTCAGTGTGTCGCCAGGGGTCTCCACCTCCACCTCTGCCAGCCTGTCACCCAGCGTGTCCTCCAGCGTTTTAGCCTCCACATCGCCTAGTGTTTCACGAAGTTTCTTTGCTTCCACCTCTGCTAGCGTGTCAGCGAGTGTGTCGACCAGTGCTTCGGTCTGGACATCGCCCAGTGTGTCGCCAAGTTTCTCGGCCTTCACCTCTGCTACCGTGTCAGCCAGTGTGTCGACCAGTGTTTCTGTCTCGACCTCTCCTAGTGTGTCGCCAAGTTTCTTGGCCTCCACCTCTGCTAGCGTGTCAAGCAGTGTGTCGACCAGTGCATCCGTCTCGACCTCGCGCATTCTGTCGCCAAGTGTCACAGCCTCCACCTCTGCCAACGTGTCAGCCAGTGTGTCCAAGAGCGTTTCAGCGTCCACATCGCCAAGTGTTTCGCCTAGTTTCTCTCCCTCCACGTCTGCCAGCGTGTCAGCCAGTGTGTCCACGAGCGTTTCACCATCTACATCGCCCAGTGTTTCGCCTAGTTTGTCGGCCTCCACCTCTGCTACCGTGTCAGCCAGTGTGTCGACCAGTGCTTCGGTCTCGACATCGCCCAGTGTGTCGCAAAGTTTGTTGGTCTCTACCTCATCTAGCGTGTCAGCCAGTGTGTCGACCAGTGTTTCGGTCTCGACATCGCTCAGTGTGTCGCCAAGTGTCTCGGCCTCCACCTCTGCTAGCCTGTCAGCCAGTGTGTCGACCAGTGCTTCGGTCTCGACATCTCCTAGTGTGTCGCAAAGCATCTCGGCCTCCACTTTTGCCAGCGTATCAGCCAGTGTGTCCACCAGCGTTTCAGCCTCCACATCGCCCACTGTTTTATCAAGTTTCTCCGCCTCCACCTATGCTAGCGTGTCAGCCAGTGTGTTGACAAGTGCTGCGGTTTCGACATCTCCTAGTGTGTCGCCAAGTTTCTTGGCCTCCACATCTGCTAGCGTGTCAGTCAGTGTGTCGACCAGTGCATTGGTCTCAACATCCCGGATTGTGTCGCCAAGTGTCACGGCCTCACCGTCTGCCAGCGTGTCAGCCAGTGTGTCCAAGAGCGTTTCAGCGTCCACATCGCCAAGAGTTTCGCCAAGTTTCTCGGCCTCCACCTCTGCTAGCGTGTCAGCCAGTGTGTCGACCAGTGCTTCGGTCTCGACATCTCCCAGTGTGTCGCCAGCTGTCTCGGCCTCCACTTCTGCGAGCCATTCAGCCAGCGTGTCCTCCAGCGTTTCAGCCTCCACATCGCCTAGTGTTTCGCCAAGTTTGTCGGCCTCCACCTCTCCCACCGTTTCAGCCAGTGTGTCAACCAGTGCTTCGCTCTCGACATCGCCCAGTATTTCGCCAAGTTACTCGGCTTTCACTTCAGCTAGCATATCAGCCAGTGTGTCGACAAGTGCTTCGGTCTCGACATCGCCGAGTTTGTCGCCAAGTGTCTCAGCCTCAACCTCTGCAAGCGTGTCACCTACTTTGTCGACCAGTGCTTCGGTCTCGATATCTCCTAGTGTGTCGCCAAGTGTCTCGGCGTCCTCCTCTGCTAGCGTGTCAGCCAGTGTGTCCACCAGCGTTTTAGACTCCACATCGCCAACTGTTTCGCCAAGTTTGTCGGCTTCCACCTCTGCTAGCGTGTCAGCCAGTGTGGCGACCAGTGCTTCGGTTTCGACATCGCCCAGTGTGTCGCCAAGTGTCTCGGCCTCCACGTCTGCCAGCGTGTCAGCCAGTGTGTCCACCAGCGTTTCAGCATCTACGTCGCCCAGTGTTTCGCCAAGTTTGTCGGCCTCTACCTCTGCTACCATGTCAGCCAGTGTGTTGACCAGTACTTCGGTGTCGACATCGCCCAGTGTGTCACAAAGTTTTTCCGCCTCTTCCTTTGCTAACGTGTCAGCCAGTGTGTCAACCAGTGTTTCGGTCTTGACATCGCCGAGTTTGACGCCAAGTGTCTCAGCCGCTACCTTTGCTAGCGTGTCACCCAGTGTGTCAACCAGTGCTTCGGTCCCAACATCTCCTAGTGTGTTGCAAAGCGTGTCGGCCTCCGCCTCTGCCAGCGTGTCACCCAGGGTGTCCACCAGCCTTTCAGCCTTAACATCGCTTACTGTTTCATCAAGTTTCTCCGCCTCCACCTCTGCTATCGTGTCAGCCAGTGTGTCGACAAGTGCTTCGGTCTCGACATCGCTCAGTATGTCGCCAAGTGTCTCGGCCTCCACCTCTGCTCGCGTGTCAGCCAGTGTGTCGACCAGTTCTTCGGTCACAACATCGCCCAGTGTGTCGCCAAGTGTCTTGGCCTCCACGTCAGCCAGCGTGTCAGCCAGTCTGTCCACCAGCGTTTCAGCATCTTCATCGCCCAGTGTTTTCCCAAGTTTGTCGGCCTCCACCTCTGCTACCGTGTCAGTCGGTGTGTCGACCAGTGCTTCGGACTCGACATCTGCCAGTGTGTCGCCAGGTGTCTCGACCTCCACCTCTGCCAGCCTGTCAGCCAGCGTGTCCTTTAGCGTTTCAGCCTCCACTTCGCCTAGTGTTTCGCCAAGTTTCTCGGCCTCCACCTCTGCTACCATGTCAGTCAGTGTGTCGACCAGTTCTTCGGTCTCGACATCGCACAGTATTTCGCCAACTTACTCGGCTTCCACTTCAGCTAGCGTGTCAGCCAGTGTGTCGAGAAGTGCTTCCTTCTCGACATCTCCTAGTGTGTCGCCAAGTGTCTCGGCCTCCACCTCTGCTAGCGTGTCAGCCAGTGTGTCGACAAGTGCTTCCGTCTCGACATCGCCGAGTTTGTCCCCAGGTGTCTCAGCCTCCACCTCTGCAAGCGTGTCACCCACTTTGTCGACCAGTGCTTCGGTCTCGACATCTCTTAGTGTGTCGCCAATTGTCTTGGTTTCCACCTCTGCTAGCGTGTTAGCAAATGTGTCCACCAGCGTTTCAGCCTCCACATCCCCCAGTGTTTCGCCAAGTTTCTCGGCCTCCACCTCTGCTAGTGTGTCAGCCAGTGTGTCGACCAGTGCGTCGGTCTCAACATCTCCTAGTGTGTCGCCAAGTTTCTCGGCCTCTACCTCTGGTAGCGTGTCAGGCAGTGTGTCGACCAGTGCATCCCTCTCGACATCGCGCATTCTGTCGCCAAGTGTCACGGCCTCCACCTCTGCCAGCGTGTCAGCCAGTGTGTCCACCAGCGTTTCAGCCTTAACATCGCCCACTGTTTTATCAAGTTTCTCCGCCTCCACCTCTGCTACCGTGTCAGCCAGTGTGTCGACAAGTGCTTCTGTCTCGACATCGCTCAGTATGTCGCCAAGTTTCTCGCCCTCTACCTCTGCTAGCGTGTCAGCCAGTCTGTCGACCAGTGCTTCGGTCTCGACATCGCCCAGTGTGTCGCCAAGTTTCTCGGCCTTCACCTTTGCTACCGTGTCAGCCAGTGTGTCGACCAGTGTTTTGGTCTCGAGATCGCCCACCATTTCGCCAAGTTACTCGGCTTCCACTTCAGCTAGCGTGTCAGCCAGTGTGTCGACAAGTGCTTTGGTCTCGACATCGCCGAGTTTTTCGCCAAGTGTCTCAGCCTCAACCTCTGCAAGCGTGTCACCTACTTTGTTGACCAGTGCTTCGGTCTCGACATCTCCTAGTGTGTCGCCAAGTGTCTCGGCCTCCACCACTGCTAGCGTTTCAGCCAGTGTGTCCACCAGCGTTTTAGACTCCACATCGCCCAGTGTTTCGCCAAGTTTCTCGGCCTTTACCTCTGCTGGCGTGTCAGTCAGTGTGTCGACAAGTGCATTGGTCTCGAGATCCCGCATTGTGTCGCCAAGTGTCACGGCCTCAACCTCTGCCAGCGTGTCAGCCAGTGTGTCCAAGAGCGTTTTAGCGTCCACATCGCCAAGTGTTTCGCCAAGTTTTTCGGCCTCCACCTCTGCTAGCGTGTCAGCCAGTGTGTCGACCAGTCCCTCGGTCTCGACATCGCCCAGTGTGTCACAAAGTTTTTCCGCCTCTACATCTGGTATCGTGTCAGCCAGTGTGTCAACCAGTGTTTCGGTCTCGACATCGCCGAGTTTGTCGCCAAGAGTCTCAGCCTTCACCTTTGCTAGCGTGTCACCCAGTGTGTCAACCAGTGCTTCGGTCTCGACATCTCCTAGTGTGTTTCAAAGGGTCTCGGCCTCCACCTCTGCCAGCGTGTCAGCCAGTGTGTCCACCAGCGTTTCAGCCTTAACATCGCCCACTGTTTCATCAAGTTTCTCCGCCTCCACCTCTGCTAGCGTGTCAGCCAGTGTTTCGACCAGTGTTTCGGTCTCGACATCGCAGAGTTTGTCACCAAGTGTCTCAGCCTCCAACTTTCCTAGCGTTTCACCCAGTGTGTCAACCAGTGCTTCGGTCTCGACATCTCCTAGTGTATCTCAAACCGTCTCGGCCTCCACCTCTGCCAGCGTGTCTGCCAGTGTGTCCACCAGCGTTTCAGCCTCCACCTCGCCCACTGTTTTATCAATTTTCTCCGCCTTCACCTTTGCTAGCGTGTCAGCCAGTGTGTCGAGAAGTGCTTCGGTCTCGACATCGCTCAGTACGTCGCCAAGTGTCTCGGCCTCCACCTCTGCTAGCGTGTCAGCCAGTGTGTCGACCAGTCCTTCAGTCACGACATCGCCGAGTCTGTCGCCAAGTGTCTCGGCCTCCACGTCTGGCAGCGTGTCAGCCAGTCTGTCCACCAGCGTTTCAGCATCTTCATCGCCCAGTGTTTCGCCAAGTTTGTCGGCCTCCACCTCTGCTAGCGTGTCAGCCAGTGTTTCGACCAGTGCTTCGGTCTCGACATCTCCCAGTTTTTCGCCAGGTGTCTCGACCTCCACCTCTGCCAGCCTTTCAGCCAGCGTGTCCTCCAGCGTTTCGGCCTCCACATCACCTAGTGTTTCGCCAAGTTTCTCGGCCTCCTCCTATGCTACCTTGTCAGCCAGTGTGTCGACCAGTGCTTCGGTCTCGACATCGCCCACTGGGTCGCCAAGTTTCTCGGCCTCCACCCCTGCTACCGTATCAGCCAGTGTGTCAACCAGTGCTTCGGTCTCGACATCGCCCAGTATTTCGCCAAATTACTCGGCTTCCACTTCAGCTAGCGTGTCAGCCAGTGTGTCGACAAGTGCTTCGGTTTCGACATCTCCCAGTGTGTCGCCAAGTTTTTCGGCCTCCACCTCTGCTAGCGTGTCAGCCAGTGTGTCCACCAGCGTTTCAGCTTCCACATCGCCCAGTGTTTCGCAAGGTTTCTCGGCCTCCACCTCTGCTAGCGTGTCAGTCAGTGCGTCGACCAGTGCATTGGTCTCGATATCCCGCATTGTGTCGCCAAGTGTCACGGCTTTAACCTCTGCCAGCGTATCAGCCAGTGTGTCCAAGAGCGTTTCAGCGTCCATATCGCCCAGTGTGTCGCAACGTTTGTCGGTCTCTACCTCATCTAGTGTGTCAGCCAGTGTGTCGACCAGTGTTTCTGTCTCAACATCGCTCAGTGTGTCGCCAAGTGTCTCGGCCTCCACCTCTGCACGCGTGTCACCCACTTTGTCGACCAGTGCTTCGGTCTCGACATCTCTTAGTGTGTCGCCAAGTGTCTCGGTTTTCACCTCTGCTAGCGTGTTAGCCAGTGTGTTTACCAGCGTTTCAGCCTCCACATTGCCCAGTGTTTCGACAAGTTTCTCGGCCTCCACCTCTGCTAGCGTGTCAAGCAGTGTGTCGACCAGTCCATCGGTCTCGACATCGCGGATTCTGTCGCCAAGTGTTATGGCCTCCACCTATGCCAGCGTGTCAGCCAGTGTGTCCAAGAGCGTTTCAGCGTCCACATCGCCAAGTGTGTCGCCAAGTTTCTCGCCCTCCACCTCTGCTACCGTGTCAGCCAGTGTGTCAACCAGTGCTTCGGTCTCGACATCGCCCAGTGTGTCGCCAAGTACCTCGACCTCCACCTCTGCTAGCGTGTCAGTAAGTGTGTCGAACAGTGCATTGGTCTCGACATCCCGCATTGTGTCGCCAAGTGTCACGGCCTCATCCTCTGCCAGCGTGTCAGCCAGTGTGTCCAAGAGCGTTTCAGTGTCCACATCGCGAAGTGTTGCGCCAAGTTTCTTGGCCTTCACCTCTTCTAGCGTGTCAGCCAGTGTGTCGACCAGTACTTCGGTCTGGACAACGCCCAGCGTGTCGCCAAGTGTCTCATTCTCCACGTCTGCCAGCGTGTCAGCCAGTTTGTCCGCCAGCGTTTCAGTGTCCACATCGCGAAGTGTTTCGCCAAGTTTCTCGGCCTCCACCTCTCTTAGCGTGTCAGGCAGTGTGTGGACCAGTGCATCGGTCTCGACATCGCGCATTCTGTCGCCAAGTGTCACGGCCTCCACCTCTGCCAGCTTGTCAGCCAGTGTGTCCAAGAGCGTTTCAGCCTCCACATCGGCTAGTGTTTCGCCAAGTTTCTCGGCCTCCACCTCTGCTACCGTCTCAGCCAGTGTGTCCACCAGCGTTTCAGCCTCAACATCGTTCAGTGTGTCGCCAAGTTTCTCGGCCTCAACGTCTGCTAGCGTGTCAGCCAGTGTGTCCACCAGCGTTTCAGCCTCCACATCGCCCAGTGTTTCGCCAAGTTTTCCGGCCTCTACCTCTCTTAGCGTGTCAGGCAGTGTGTCGACCAGTGCATCGGTCTCGACATCGCGCATTCTGTCGCTAAGTGTCATGGCCTCCACCTCTGCCAGCTTGTCAGCCGGTGTGTCCAAGAGCGTTTCAGCCTCCACATCGCCTAGTGTTTCGCCAAGTTTCTCGGCCTTCACCTCTGCTACCGTCTCAGCCAGTGTGTCCACCAGCGTTTCAGCCTCCACATCGTTCAGTGTGTCGCCAGGTTTCTCGGCCTCAACGTCTGCTACCGTGTCAGCCAGTGTGTCGACCAGTGCTGCGGTCTCGACTTCGCCCAGTGTGTCGCAAAGTTTGTCGGCCTCTACCTCTGCTAGCGTGTCAGCCAGTGTGTCGACCAGTCCTTCCGTCTCGACATCGCCCAGTGTGTCGCCAAGTGTCTCCGCCCCCACCTCTGCTAGGGTGTCAGCCAGTGTGTCGACCAGTGCTTCGGTCTCGACATCGCCCAGTGTTTCGCCAAGTTTCTCGGCCTCTACCTTTGCTAGCGTGTCAGCGAGTGTGTCCACCAGTGCTTCGGTCCCGACATCGCCCAGTGTGTCGCCAAGTGTCTCGGCCTTTACGTCTGCCAGCGTGTCAGCCAGTTTGTCCACCAGCGTTTCAGCCTCCACATCGCCAAGTGTTTCGTCAACTTTCTTGGCCTCCATCTCTACTAGCGTGTCAGCCAGTGTGTCGACCAGTGCTTCGGTTTCGACATCGCCCAGTGGTTCGCCAAGTTTGTCGGCCTCCACCTCTGCTAGCGTGTCAGCCAGTGTGTCGACAAGTTCTTCGGTCTCGACATCGCCGAGTTTGTCGCCAAGTGTCTCAGCCTCCCCCTCTGCACGCGTGTCACCCACTTTGTCGACCAGTGCTTCGGTCTCGACATCTCCTAGTGTGTCGCCAAGTGTCTCGGCCTCCACCTCTGCTAGCGTGTCAGCCAGTGTGTCCCCCAGCGTTTCAGCCTCCACATCGCCCAGTGTTTCGCCAAGTTTCTCGGCCTCCACCTCTCTTAGCGTGTCAGGCAGTGTGTGGACCAGTGCATCGGTCTCGACATCGCGCATTCTGTCGCCAAGTGTCACGGCCTCCACCTCTGCCAGCTTGTCAGCCAGTGTGTCCAAGAGCGTTTCAGCCTCCACATCGCCTAGTGTTTCGCCAAGTTTCTTGGCCTCCACCTCTGCTACCGTCTCAGCGAGTGTGTCCACCAGCGTTTCAGCCTCCACGTCGTTCAGTGTGTTGCCATTTTTCTCGGCCTCCACCTCTGCTACCGTGTCAGCCAGTGTGTCGACCAGTGCTTCGGTCTCGACATCGCCCAGTGTGTCGCAAAGTTTGTCGGTCTCTACCTCATCTAGCGTGTCAGCCAGTGTGTCGACCAGTGTTTCGGTCTCGACATCGCTCAATGTGTCGCCAAGTGTCTCGGCCTCCACCTCTGCTAGCCTGTCAGCCAGTGTGTCGACCAGTGCTTCGGTCTCGACATCGCCCAGTGTTTTGCCAAGTTACTCGGCCTCCACCTCTGCTAGCGTGTCAGCGAGTGTGTCGACCAGTGCTTCGGTCTCGACTTCGCCCAGTGTGTTGCCAAGTGTCTCGGCCTCCATCTCTGCTAGCGTGTCAGCCAGTGTGTCGACCAGTGCCTCGGTCTTGACATCGCCGAGTTTGTCGCCAAGTGTCTCAGCCTCCACCTCTGTAAGCTTGTCACCATATGTGTCGATCAGTGCTTCGTTCTCGAGATCTCCTAGTGTGTCGCCAAGTGTCTCGGCCTCCTCCTCTGCTAGCGTGTCAGCCAGTGTGTCCACCAGTTCTTCAGTCTCGACCTCGCCCAGTTTGTCGCTAAGTGTCTCGGCCTCCACCTCTGCTAGTGTGTCAGCTAGTGTGTCGACCAGTGCTTCAGGCTCGACATCGCCCAGTGGGTCGCCAAGTGTCTCGGCCTACAATTCTGCCAGCGTGTCAGCCAGTGTGTCCACCAGCGTTTCAGCCTCCACATCGCCCAGTGTGTCGCCAAGTTTCTCGGCCTCCACCTCTGCCAGCGTGTCTGCCAGTGTGTCCATCAGCCTTTCAGCCTCCACATCGCCCAGTGCTTCGCAAAGTTTGTCGGCCCTCACCTCTGCTAGCGTTTCAGCCAGTGTGTCGACCAGTGCTTCGGTCTCGACATCGCTCAGTGTGTCGCCAAGTTTGTCGGCCTCCACCTCTGCCATCGTGTCAGTTAGTGTGTCCACCAGCGTTTCAGCCTCCACATCGCCCAGTGTGTCGCTAAGTGTCTCGGCCTCCACCTCTGCTAGCATGTCAGCCAGTGTTTCGACAAGTGCTTCGGTCTCAGCATCGCTTAGTGCGTCGCCAAGTGTCTCGGCCTCCACCTCTGCCAGCGTGTCAGCCAGTGTGTCCACCAGCGTTTCAGCCTCCTCATCGCGCAGTGTTTTGCGAAGTTTCTCGGCCTTCACCTCTGCTAGCGTGTCAGCCATTGTGTCGACCAATGCCTCGGTCTCTACATCGCTTAGTGTGTTGCCAAGTGTCTTGGCCTCCACCTCTGCCAGCGTGTCAGCCGGTGTTTCCACGAACTTTTTAGCCTCCACATCGCCCAGTGTTTCGCCAAGTTTCTCAGGGTCCACCTCTGCTAGCGTGTCAGGCAGTGTGTCGACCAGCGGTTCGGTCTCGACATTGCCCAGTGTGTCTCCACGTTTTTCGGCCTCCACGTCTGCTCTCGTGTCAGCAAGTGTGTCGACCAGTGCATTGGCCACCACATCCCCCGGTTTTTCGCCAAGTGTCTCTTCTAGTTTTATTTCCTTTGGTACTTTGTTTAATCTTCCTACGGTGGCCATAGTTCCTTCAAGTTCTTTGCATTTAAGTTCATCATCTGTTGGTAAGTGTTTAGGGTGTAAGGTGACGTTGTGTTGTTAAATATAAGCTGTCTTTTTAAATTCTTGGATGATTGGAGATTTTTTAGGTTTTTTCATAATGATAAAGTAAATTTTAATGTGAGGTTTGGGGTTAGGTGTGATAGTTTGTTCGTTCGTGAGGAAAAAAAACAAAAAGCAAGGATTCTCCCGGCAAAACGGTTTTTTTGAATAAGTGATTATTTTTAGTTTTGGTCGTAAAACAACTAAGGAACGAAGGGACTCATTTTGCACTGCAATTGGCTAGACCTTTGTGTCGCTCGGATGGCCACGTAAAATGGTGGTCCCCTCTCCAGAAGATATAGTGTCTTCAAATAGTACTTTGGTGCTGGATGCATTGAGACTCTAATAAGGTGCATTTGGTTTTTCGTTTTTACTTTAACGTTGCAGTTGCCTTGAAGGGGCTGCTGTCTCTTGCAGTTTACGCTTCAATGTGCTATACGAGCGTAGAAAATGTACTTGTTTGTATTAAACATAGGTAGGAGTAAGAGGGCTCAATAGAGATATGAATTGATGGATACTTGTCTGTTTAAAAGGGTTGTGTTCGGTTAGACCCTACGGTAGGGAGGGGGGCTCTGTAGAGGAGAGAAATGGAATCCTAGAAATGCACGTAGCGTTTCTATTAGCGTTAAGGAATTAGTTTCGAGGCAACCAATGGAGTTAAGCAAAAATCTTGAAGCTTCTTGATTTTAAATCACGACCAAAACTTTCAAAATTTTATTTTAAAGCTTTGCTTTTAGCTTTATCACATTTTTGGTCAGGTTCTAGAAGACTGGCCAAAATTTTGACAGGTAAATAAAAGTTTCACCAACCAGGTTTCTTTTACGGTTCATTCGTTTAAAGCATACGCATGAAGCAGCATTTGCCCGTTGGTCGTTTTTTGAAGTTCATTATTTGTAAAGAAAAATATATCAATAGGGAAATGCGTGGCAATGCGCGTACGCTACAAATTGACCCACTTGACTTCTCAGTGTTTACACTTACCATAAAAGAGTACTGCCAAGCAAAAACATTACCTCCAATGCAGTTTAATGTAAGAGGTTACACGACAGGCCTTCAACCACAGACTTACAACACCTGTATTGAAAACGACGTGTAGCACTAGAAAGTGCCGCTCAATAGCCTTAGGTGGACTCGAGGAAGCTGCGGAAATCGATTCTACAACTTTCACTTAGAACTTAAAATTAAGTTACATTATTCTTTATCTTTTCGTTATATTTGGAGCTGTGTCAGGATTGTCTAGTTCATTTTGTTAATGATGCCAATCGCGCTTTCTAATTCGCTATGTTCGCTGGGATACTCCCTTATATAAGCTAAATAGCCTAATGGGTATGTGTCGCCACAAGGGGTAGGGTTTTTGGGCCTTTTTGGTCTGGAATTGGGGATGGTCTTCGAGGAAACTAGAGGAACGTATAAACGTAGTTATCGTTTCAATTCCAAATGAATAAGAACGAAATAGAAATATGCGAATTCCAAATGCATTTGAAGAATTTTTTTGTTTGCGCTCTAATCTGAGTAATGATGACAATTTCTGCCCAAAGGCCAGGCCCTAGTTGTTCAAAAGGTGGATAACGCTATCCGCTGGATAAATCTCTATCAACTGGACAGCGCAATTAGTTTCTCCAATATTTATCCCCTGGATAGTGATTTATCCGCTGGATAGCGGTATCCAACTTTTGAACAACCCGGGCCAGGTCTGAAAACGGGCACGGATTTTAGAGGTCTTGTCTGAAAACGGGAGTGGAAAATAGCATTTTTTGGTCTGAAATATTGTCAGGATTTGAAGAACCTGGCGGCACACTCCCACCAACAATTCCCAGGACCCTCTCCCCCCCGGGTTGCTATGGAACTTGAGAAATTACTGATGAATGGCAAAATTACAGCTTCGTGTGAAATAAGTGTCACCCGAACATTACATCAAACGTTACAAGCAACAAACATGAACTTTGAAATACTGATCGGCTAACACTTTTTCAAAACCCACAATAGCGTCCGTTTAAATCTTATTTTTATGTTCATTCATTATTTTGCCATTAACCAGAAATACAACAACAGTATACAGAAATGCGTTAAAGATAATATACAATATTCCAACTAAATTATTTACAAGATCAAGTGTGGTAAAGGCAAGGAAGCCTATATGGAAGCCGAGGGCTTAAAAACTATAGGCTTCGTGGAACTTTAGGGTAAACCATACAAGGTAAGGATACTGAATGGAAATTTGGATTAATTTCAAAAATAATAATAATGAAAAAGAGAAAAGAAAAGAAAAAAGAAAAAGAAAAGGTGTGTAACTCAACAAAGAGTCAATTTAACTAAAAAAGAAGAAATTTTTTGTCTTTTGCCAAACAAACTGATACTTTCACTGTTTTGAATTTCCCGACTTAGCGGGTTGAAAAACGTAGGACCTTGAAACCGAATTGAGAATTTTCGAAAATTAGTTCGACAATGAGGTATATAGAAAAGTCTGGAATTTCTTGTATTATAAGAATGTATCTGGCTTGCAAGAGTAAACATATCACAAAAATAATTAGGAAGTAAGCCTCTTTTAAAAAAATACGTAAATTTACCTATTTTGTATGAATAAATGTTCGAGAATTTTAAAATCTCGTGCTCTTTAAAAAGAACACCGCTATGAGCATCAAAAGAAACTTTAGATATTATTCTGATTATCTTCTTTTGCAGAATAATAATCCGATTTAAATTAGACTGATACGTCGATCCCCACACTGAAACACAATAAGTTAAGTAAGGGTCATGAACTAGACTATAGTACAAGGAGCGCAAGGAAGTTTTGGGAAGGCAAAAATTAGACTTGTAAATAATACCTACTGATTTTGATATTTTTCTAGAAACGCTAAGAATGTGAGGCTTCCATGACAAATGCTCATCGAGGATAACACCTAAAAATACTGTTTCTTTCACATGTTCAATAACATTGCTGTCAATTTGAATAGATATATCAAGTGTTTGCCTCCTTTGGCGTGGTCTAAAAACCATAAAATTTGTTTATTTGCTCGACACCATTGGGTTAATTTAAGCATTTCAGAATTCAAGATTTCAGGAAGCAAGTTAAAATCTTTGTGGGAGAAAAATATGTTTGTGTCATCAGCAAGAAGAATAAAGTCCACGACCTTTGACACGTTACATAGATCATTTATATAGAGTAGAAAGAGCAGGGGGCGTAGTATAGAGCCCCGAGGCACCCCGCAGAGTTGAGTTTCACTCAGTTTGGTGGCGGATCCTACCCTTTAAATTTTGACTAATTTCGTGACGCAGCTCCTTTAAAATACCTCCATTTTTGAAGCAGCTTCGCACACGCTCTTTCTCTTTTTCAGGGGTGAATCATTGTCTTCCCAACCCTTGTGATGAGAATGCGGAGTGTGAAAATACTGCAGAGTCATATATATGCGTGTGCAAGAATGGATTCACTGGCAACGGGCAATCTTGCCAAGGTTCGTAAGGCTTTATCTGTGGTTATTAATCCAGCGCAATCCCAATTTCGCTATTCGTAATTAATTTGTGCGCTGATGTCTGCGTGTGGAGGCGTGTGTAAAGTGGTTAACACCTCGAACTCCCGATCTGGAGGTCCAGGGTTCACTAGCCTCACCCGTCACGTTGTTTCCTTAGACAAGGAACTTTACTCCACTTTGTCTATCTTCACCCAGGTGTATAAATGGGTACCGACGTCATACTGCTGTGGGGGGGGGGTTAACCCAGAGATGCACCAGCACGCCGTCCAGCGGGGAGAAGCAAAACTTTAAGGCATGCTACATGCTAAGGAAACCGGGTTAAGCTCCGGCCATTTTGGCCTTTGGCCTCGTGTGCGCCTTTACCTTTACCTGTTGTCAGTGTAAATTTTTTGCGCCCAAGAGTCATATCATGTATTTCCGTTCGAGTGAGTATAAGGGATCTTACGGTCCGATAAACTCCAATAAACGTCGCAGAAAAATAGACTTCTCATCCTTTCAAACTTTTACGCGATTAATCCAAGTCGCCCCGTTTCGTAAAAGAATGGATTATGGTTGGAACTGAAGGGAGGGAACCGTAACCATATTTATCGCCTTGCCATTCCCGTTCTCAGGTAAGCTTCAAATTTTAGTCATTTCACGTCGCAGTTATGCAGGGACGGCAGGAAATTTACAAACAAAGCGTGATGAACGTGAAAAGTCGTTATTTTTCTTTCTAACCTTATTGTGTTTAAGGCGTTGCCGTTGCCTTCGCAGTTTCGTAAGGCTTCCTACGTGCGTTAATAAAATAGAGGCAATGTATGAAACGTCGCGCGTAAACGTAAAAGTTGAGTGAGATTTACATTAACGCGCACATTGCCTTTATTATATTTTCGAACGTAAAAATGGGACTGATTTGACAATGACAAGATGTGCAGAACT